TCAAATTCAAAGTTTCAAATATAAAATGCAAATGTAATTTCAAACAAGATGTGTTTGTGAAACACTATGCACCCGACGGCAACAAAGTTCAAAAAAATATTTTCAGAAGATAAGTCAACGTCACAAGGTCATTGACCTTGGTGTCATTTAAAGAACTTTATTAGTGGAGTATGCACACCAAATATGAAGTCTCTATCTGTCATGGTTCAAAGTTATGGAGAAAGTTTGTAAAATCTATTTCAGCATAAAGGTCACAGTCAAGGTCACAAGGTCATTGACCTTGGTGTCATTTAAAAGAACGTCATTGGTGGAGTATGCATATCAAATATAGAGTCTCCATTTCTCATGGTTCAAAAGTTATGGCGAAAATTCGGAAAAGCTATTTTTAGCAAAAAGGTCACAGTCAAGGTCACAAGGTCATTGACATTGGTATCATTTGAAAGAACTCCATTGGTGGAGTATGCATATTAAATATTAAGTCTCTATCTTTCATGGTTCAAAAGTTATGGCGAAGGTTAAAGTTGACAACAGACAGACATACAAACAGACAAACAGACAGGACAATATACGCCTCGGATCTATCGATCCGGGCGCATAAAAATTGATTGCATTTTAATAAGTACATCAAATTTTAATTTTATCGATACAATGTGATACAATGACCGTAGAATTTGCGAAATAATGTCCTTCGTCAGTTTGTCAATAAGATGCCTCGTTTTGATACACAATTTGTAGAACATGCTCTAATGTATCAAATCAACTGGAATATGTTATCACAATATGCAGGTGATAAAGGTATATTGCAACATAAAAAGAGAAGTTGATAATAGAAATGTTGAAGTTGTCACGTTTATTATAAGTTTTGTTGTCAGCTTACCATTGATGTCTTCTTATACAGTGAATGGATGTGTTCAAAATATCAACATAATGTTGAAAACACGTTCCTATAGGTTAAAGAATGCTATTTATTTTCTGTAGATTTGGAATTGGAATTTCGAAATTCTCAGCAAAAACGATGATCAGTGTTTTGCACTTTTATCATAATTATTGCTATGGCCATCACTTTCCGGTGGAGGGCGGTAAATTAAAAACCTTACCTCTGCAATAATAATCATTGAAGAGACAGGGATATTTTTCAATCCAGCATCTTCTGTGACACGATGCTTTGCTTTGTACGGTCTCGTCCAAAGGAAGAAAAGACACATCTTGCAGTGGGATTCGACGTAAGGATCAACTTTTTACTCCACGAGTCCATTGCAAACGCTCTATTTATTAAACCATGCAAGCCCCTGCTTTTATTGTTCTTGTTCTTTCCAATAAACTTTTAACTAAACAAAAACTTTTTTAACAAATTCTTCTTAAAAATTATATCCGAATATTCGTTTTGAAGTACACATAAAAGTTAAGGAAAAAAAATCATTATTCAATCTGATATGGTGAATGACAATATGAAAGAAAACAAACATGAAATAGATCTTTAAATGTAACTTTATGGCACATACCTGTCGATAATAGCAAATATATATTTAAGGAGGAAGCTGAAAGATATTATTATGCTTCAACGAGATAATCAATGTTTTTTTCTATAGCACTATCTGTTTTTGTAAACGTTATTGAGTTGCTAATTACAAAATTATTTGAGAGAATCTCCGAGTGCTTAATTAATTTTAGCTATTTTGGAAAGAACATTGCGAATACTTATTATAAAAGTTTAGAAAATTAATGTTTTATTGCATAATGTTTTTCGTATCCTTACATGAGTAGACTTAATTAACAAGGTGAATAATGATGATGCCCCCATCAGTGGTATGGGAAACCTTGACAAATTTTCCATTTAGGTACATTCAATATTGGAAGTTCAAGTCAGCTAAATAGAATTCCCTGTAGTGGGAGGAGCTAACATAAACTATAAATTCAGGATATCAAAATTTATATTTACAATAATATCCAGGACTTATCCAGAATGTTTTGTGGAAGTACTGCCGTATTGGTGTGTATGGCCTTGTTCTTGGTAGCCCCAAGTGAAGGTAGGCTACATGTATTAAAACAAGGCTTTTTAGTTGTTAATATATTCAAAAGATTGGAAAATAAATTTGTTCACTGACAGAAAACAACAGAAAATTATCGTCAAAATCTAACGTTTTAAGGAACATTCTTGAAACAGCAGGCAAAACAAGTTAATTTTGGTTAACTCCAAAATGCAACATCGTTCAATTTTACAATATTTGTCAAGGTTATCAACATTGCTTGTTCAAGATTATGCATAAGAATTTTCAAGCAAAGAATGGACAAATGTAATGAATAAAAAACCTATATTCTTTGCTAAGTTTTCCCCACTAAAGGACAGATAATAAATTTTAAAAATGGATGCCTGGATTGGTATATTTTTTGGGTCTATTTTTGTTGCAAATGATGAGACTACTAATTTTTCAAACTATTAAGAATTTGTAAACCTTCTATGATGATCAAAACTCGACCTTTCTACATCCATCTTTGTTAATCTATACAATCTATACAATTTTTTTGTTTCAAATTCCGGTTTTGTGAAACTTTGAATGCAAAATTAAAAAATACGCAGTTTTTAATGTTCTTTTAAGTGATTGAAACATGACCCACGTAGTTAATTTCAATTTTAAGGACAAAAGTTTGTTTGTATATCTGTCATTACTGCAAAGTTTCAATATTTCAAGAAAATTGCGATTGTTATACGAAGAAATTAAATTAAAAAAAATCAAACAGAGCATCGCCACATCATATACTAGTATTCATTAATAAATATTTTACACACACGCCTAAAACAACAGTAAAATTCAAATTCTGATGATTAACATCTATTTAACATACAATAAGTTCCAGACAAAAAAATATGTATAAATGCAACATCTTTTTTATTTAAATTTTATGTCAAAGTTTTGAACACTGCATTCTCAAGGTTAAACGTATGAATTTTCAAGCAAGGAATAGACAAATGCCAAAAATCAACTCTTCACAAAGTCTTACTCACTTTAGCCAAAGTTTCAATATTTTAAGATACGTTCGAAAATACAGGTATGATAGGAATAAGTCCTGCGATAAGTAATTATTTAAAATGATACTCAAAATATATTTCAAACATTTTTTTTTTATTTTTCCTGAGAAAAAAATGTTATTTTTCTATGTTACAAAATAAATTTGTAATCAAAAAAATAGTGAAGAAGAAAATTATGAAGAGTTGAACAATTGCAATATTGGTGTTCTTTTTTTTTATTATTATTAAATGGCAAATAGCTTGTTTGTATCGATGTTTTTTTTTTTTTTTTTTTTTTTTTTTTTTTTTTTGTGTGTGTGTTTTTTTATTTCATTAAGTTTGCCATTTGCTTAATGTATTGAGAAGTTAAATATTTAATTATCTCTTCATATATGAAAATTTTGTTTCATATTTTATTTTATATTTTTCAAAACAAATGAATTACATTACATTAGCATTGATGTAAATTTGTCAGGATTTTGTTAAGCAAGAAAATTCTTTCACTATTTGTAATTACGCAGATTTCAATTCTCGATATTGCAAGGTCATAAAATGTACGTATGATGATTAATAATGATTATTAATACATTTCAATCGCTTACTCATACTGTATATTAGATGTATTCTAATAAAGTGTAATAAAGAAATGGGTACAAATTTGAAATATGATCCACAGGGTACGTAGTTTACCCTTAACACTATTAAATAATTACGAGGATTGTTCGAAAATGTCGTGGACGATGTCGATCTTCGTTATACTACTTTCAAGAAATTTAATATAAGCTCAATGTCCTGTGTAAATAATATTTGTTTATTTGATGTGTGAAGTTTCATTTCAGTCGATTGAATAGAAATTAATTTACTTCATTTTAATATCAACATGTTTTGTACCCGCGGAGCATACTTAACGTCGATGTAACGTCAAAAATATAACGTCAAAAAATGCTAAAAAATACTATTCCTATACAATTCAACAGTAAAGCTCAATAATCAATTTTTAATTTTTTTTTCTTGGTACTTGAAATTTATTTTTCTAACAATTGTTCTCGATGTATAATTTCCTTTGTCAATGTTTTAATTTATGTTACCACTTTGCTGTGCTTTTACAAGGAAATCGGAAGCGCTGTGTCTTTCTATGACGTTCAAATTTTAAAAGTTTTTGATCAGATTTTATTAGATAAACCGTTTCTTCGCAGATTGTTCTCGTCCGGTCACTCAAATACCGCCTGTACAATTTATGAACATATGCACGACTTAATTGTGGCATAACTTTTGATTCATTTAACATTTCTAGATTTTATTCAGGATTTTTTCTGAGTATATAACACAAAATTTGATCGTTATCTGCTGCTCTGTGACATGCAACAACGTTATCATTTTTGTGGCTTTCAATGAAGACTACCTATCTTCCTAAATTGATTTCTTTTCTATGAACCCAAATATTAAGCTATAATTTGGAATATGAATCAATGTAACAGTTCTTAATTTCAGAGTCTAGGATTTTTTTTTCCTGTTCTTGCTCCATTTTACAGAGAAGCTTGCTCCATTTTACAGAGAACATGACTACAGATATTGCCATATTTATTTCGTGTGTTGTTTGTGAATTACTAAATTCCGACCTGCTCCGCGATCTAATCTTTGCAGTTGTAAGTTCTGGATAGGTTTGAAATTATTCATGATAAATTTTTAAAAAATTTATTACAAATCATTTAGATTTATTGTTTAATTTACTTTAATCAATATTTTATTATGTTAAATTATATAATTGGATTGGACATCAGGCATGGCCTATATAAGTCCTCTCCAACTTATTGTTTACGTATATATCAAGGAGTCCACGAACTTTTCGAACAACCCTCGTACCGAAGCTGGCTTTTGTTTGTGTGTATTGATATTGTTTCCTTCAATTAATAAGATTTGTACTTGTAAGGGGGGAAAGAAAGAAATCGGTGGAAGGGAAAATATATTACATTTCAATTCCCTTGTTTTATAGGCATAAGATCCAACAATGGTGGATGTTTATGTCCTCAATACTGGGATCCTGTGTGTGGCGTAGATGGGCAGACGTACATAAATACAGGATGCCTGGCATGCGCGTATGTTAAAAAAATTAAAGTTATTTCCCAGTTAAGATCAAGTAAAAATGTATATAACGTACAAAAAAAAACTAAAATGGAACAATCTCCTTTCCATGAAAAGTTGGCATAACATATAATTATACATGTATGAATAAAAGACGAGGTTAAATAATTTCTTTTTCCTCACATAGAAAGGAAATATTTAACGATCATGATAATTGTACAAACAGCTAAATTCATTATTCTTACACGATCAAAATGTTTCTAACAGGCCAAAATTTTACAAAATTGCGAACCTCTCCAAAGCATTTTTATATTTAAAAAAGTTTATACAAGATAAAATTTTACAATAACTTTTCTTTTATCAACAGTGGTGTCCCAATGGCGTGTAGGGGAGAATGCCCTTGCTACGGACGCTAATAAACATAAAAGAAACGACACTTTAAAACAATGTCACCCGTGACCTAAAAGTCTAGTGCATAGGTTTCTTATGTCTGTAAAATGAATTTCCTTGCTAAATAAAAAAGTGGCATTCTAAATCTATTCAATATATTTTTTTTTTACTCTTCTTTCATTCGTCTTGCCTGTCAATTTAGAGGAAAAAGAACGGGTTATCGGTTATTGAAATGAGTTGAATAAAAAAAAATCCTCACAAATGATGGTTCGTGTGGTAAGAATTTTATAAATAAGATTTCACCAAATTTCCCTGGATTCTTGGGTTGTTTCCCCTGTAAACACTGCATAGTTTCTCTAAAGTTTAGCGTGAATAATATTAGGAGGTAATATTTTCATTAGAAAAAAACTTTTCTTAATTTATAAGATCTAAGCAAGTATAAAATATTTGTAATTTAGCAATAAATTGAAGATCAAATGAATTTTTTTAAGTGCGTGAAAATGCGTGATTGCGGGGAAACGGTAAATGCGTGATTTTGCGTTAGAAATATGAAATGGTATATGCGTTAAAATGCGTGACTGCGGGGAAGGGGGTTAAAAGGCATGAAAAAAATGAACTGTATTTGTACTTTTAATGGAAGACATTATTAATTGCACTGATAATACGCTTATATTTAATATTTCCTTTTTAAAGTTAATGATGAATTGATGAACATACAACGTACTATCAATCAATCGATAGTTATCTTCAAATTCATTTCATTGTTATCATTATTAGAATCAAACATCCAAAATAGATTTTAAATTGGCATAAGATTGCAAAAGCAAAAAATACACTTTTTGTAAGTATTATGGACATTTTCATTTTCAGCTAGTTAAGGTATCTAATTGTAATATTTTATATTTTTTATGTAATATACACAAACGTGTGCAACGATCTAATGTTTTAAAAAAGTTATTATTGACACTGCCATTACACCCTTGGTTATTTTCTATCTTAATTTGTATTTAATGATATATATTATAAATTGAAAATTATCTTAAAAAGATATGATGATATGATTGTGTGAATGAATTGAGAATAATTATACCTTCATTCGAGATATCTTGAGGAAAACTGTCGGCTTGGACATTTTTAAAATTAGTTAAAATTATCATCATATTTATTATTATATTATCATCAAACAATGCAACAAATGGAGATTACGAACAGTATTTAAAATCAAAAATCTATAAAAACAATACAAAATACGAGCAGAGCAAACACGGACCTCCAAAACATTAGAGGTGGAATCAGGTGTCATGGAGGAGTGAGGATTTTTTTAAATTAATAATGTTCATCGTAATTATTTGGTAGTAACAATTTAAAAAAGCATGATTTATAATGTGTTTTATGTAAGGTAAAAAGTGTTACTATTCAAGTGTCAGAATGCATGATTTCCGTACTTTGTAATACAATTTATGTGCATTTCACTGTGGCATTTTGTCAACGCATATATAATCATGGATGACATTGACTATTTGTTTAAGAAGAAATAAAGTGATTAACTTAAATTAGCTTTTTAATACAAAATATTTCATTGATATTTTAAAAATAAAAGCGTATATAATAATGAAACCGTTCAATGTAATTCATATCTTTAATTTCAAGAGGCATTAGCTCAGATTGAAAACAAACTTCGAAGCCATTACAAGATTAATACCAAAAATATTTTACAGAAAGGAAAAGGAATATGAGGAAAGCGTATCCTCTTGAATGGTTATAATGGAAACTTAAGAGTTCGACTTGTATTTTGACAGCTTATTACCCTTGTGACAATACTTGATAACTTGATAATTTCAACTCAATCGTTGTTGAATTATTAATGTTTAAAATAAGTTTAAAAATCTTAGATTCGGTTACAAATTCAGTACTGTACACACTACTTTGCTCTAAGTCCAAGCATACGGTTACTTGTGTAGTTTTGCAAACAAACACATTTGCGATAGCAATCACAGAAACAGGCAAAATAAAGAGCCTAAAATTTCCAAAGACCAATTAACTGAGTCAAACTATGCATTAATTCATGAAATTGATTTGCAATATTACTTAATCTAGATAAAAACTTATGCTTATAAATAATTGTGTATAGTGCCAGTTGATTTGTAATATACCCTATTTTCAAAATTTTCTTAATATAACATTAACATCTCTTAATGTTTTCAAAAAAGGGACTAGCCGATGTTGATTTATTAATAGTTATCATTTGTCATGTACGGAAGCCCATTTAGGACCTATCAAAAAATATTTTTAAATTCGTTATAACGGTTTTTAGAATTCATTATAACGAATTTAATCTGTTAATATAAATTCATTGAATCCGTTATAACGAATTTAATCTGTTATAACAGATTCATTGTATTCGTTATAACGAATTAAATCTGTTATTACAGATTTGTTGAATTTGTTATAACGAATTAAATCTGTTATTACAGATTTGTTGAATTCGTTATTAACAAATTCTTGAATTGGTTATAACGAATTCAACAAATCTGTAATAGCAGATTAAATTCGTTATAACGAATTCAATAAATCTGTTATAACAAATTAAATTCGTTATAACGAATTCAATGAATGTGTTATAACAAATTAAATTCGTTATAACGAATTCAATAAATCTGTTATAACAAATCAAATTCGTTATAACGAATTTTAAAAATCTGTTATAACAAATTAAATTTGCTATAACGAATTCTTATAAAAATCGTTATAACGAATTCAAAAATATTTTTTGATAGGCCCTAAATGGGCTTCCGTAGTCATTTGAATAATACTATATTTGTTCTAAACAAGACATTACATGACACGAGACACCGTCTTTAAAAACACTAGAAACTTTAAATGATTTTTGTAAGCTGTTGTGAGGTATGTTATATTTGTATTGTTTCATCATGTATATTATTAGTAACATTAAGTTTCTTGAATATTCCAGATCTAGAGTGGTCAACATGTTTGGTCCTTTTTTCTAGAACATTCTTAAATTTTGAGTATGTCAAGATTGTTCCAGTAATATCATGTTTTTACAACTTCTAGAATATTCTAGATTTATGATACTGTATAAATACCCTGTCAATTCGATGCATAGAGATACATTGTCATATAACCACCATTGATGTACAAGTAAAACTGGCATACAAAGAGACTGGGATATATTTCACTGGACATTGTTAGCTGCAACGGATACTCTGATGTAAGTATTTTTAGATTCTTGCTAAGTTTGTACTTTATGATTTGTATATATTATTGTTAAGTTTATACTGTGTAATTGATCTTTGCTGGCATTTAGGACCCATAACAGAATTGGGGGCTCGTCCGGGATAAAGAATTTATTGCATTTTTTGCAGTTTATTGTCAGAATTTTGTTAATTAAATTGTCAATTCAATTATAAGCCAGCAGAAATCAACATGGTATTTTCTTAATTCGCCAAGTTTACAGGTTTTTGATACGTTAAAAAAGGATGACTTGATCGCATTAGGTTTGGATGTTAAAGGTACTTGAACACAGATTTGAAGTTATTACTTTCTCTATAATATTACGACTTATATATTTTAATAGCATTTCACACAAAAATTAATTAAAAATCTTATTTCGTTTAAAAGATATTGAAATTTCAAATTTTTCGGCGGGTTTGATTGACATATCGTTGCACTCTCACAAATTTAATTTTATTCTTAATCCTTAGGAAAAGTGGCAATCTCGTTTTGTATAAATGAAAAATATTAATACTATAATCCAGAAAATTCAGAGTAGACACGTTCGAAAGCAAAACAAACACACAATATATTGTCTGTCCGTGCAGTTGTGGTAAGCAGACTGTGACGATTGAACGCACCCGGTGAATTCTAAATATAAACAATAACAGAACTCGAGCCCTGTTTACAAAGACTGTGTACATAACACGAGTGTGCTCGATTTGCTAAATTCTGCACGCACCTCCTAGTTCGGAATGACGATACTTGTGAAGGTGTTTTGCTACATTTCTACTCTGAATAAAATTATTTTTCTTGATAAAAGTTTTAATATTTCTCATGAAAACACATCAAAATTGCCACTTTTCCTAAGGATTAAGAATAAAGTTAAAATTTGTGAAAGTGCAAGGATGTGTCAATCAAACCCGCCAAAAAATTTAAAGTTTTAATGACTTTTAAACGAAATAAGATTTTTAATTAATTTTTGTGTGAAATGCTATTAAAATATATAATTCGTGATATTATACAGAAAAAATGAGAAAATATTAACTTCAAATCTGTGTCCAAGTACCTTTGAATCTTCTCAGAAAAAAACAAGACATTAGAATAAAGGTTGCAAACAAACTAGTTGAAGAAAACATCTTTGGAAATATGATCTTCCAGAATATACAGTTAAATCAGAGTTAGAATCTTATAAAATGTCAGAATTTCAGTATCAAGTAGAGTTAGAGAAAATGCGATTTGAAAGAGAAAACTTAGATAGAGAAGAGCGAGAAAGAGAAAGGGAAGAACGAGAGCGTGAACGGAAATTTGAATTAGACAAATTAGCAGCAGAAAGAGGAGAGCGAGAAAAAGAGCGTAAAATAAACTTTGAGTTAGAGAAATTAAGATTACAGCACCATCCGGAACTGTCATTTGTGAAGAATGAATTTGACGCAGCAAAAAATATTAGGTTAGTTCCAAAATTTCAAGAAAAATCTGTAGAGAAATATTTTCCCCATTTCGAAAAAGTCGCAGAGAATCTTAAATGGCCACAATATGTTTGGTCAACTATGCTACAAAGCGTACTAATTGGCAAAGCGACTGAGGTATACTCTGCATTAGGGATAGCTGAGAGTTCAGACTATGACAAGGTCAAAGCAGCAATATTAAAAGCATACGAATTGGTACCCGAAGCATATAGACAAAAGTTCAGAAAGTATAGGAAGTTTGATAATCAAACATTTGTTGAATTTTCACGAGAGAAAGATTTATTCGATCACTGGTTTAGATCTAAGAAACTTGATAAAACCTTTGCTAAGAAGAAGGTATGGTTTCCATACAAATTTTGCCCTGTGATTTTCTGAAACATGAAACTGGTGTAAAAGTTGAAAACTCATGCTTTTTAAATAATTGAAATTCA